TCTTCAATTCCACCTAGTGCTCTCAGAAGTTTACTATTTACTACAAGACCAGGGGACATATTTACTAAATATCATCTGTTAAATACTATACTTCCTCCTCTATCTTGACGTTTTCTGCATGTTACTTCCTCCTAACTGCACTGCTGTCTCAAACTAAGCATCTTTCTCCCCTTCTACTTAGGTTTTTCAGCTTTTTTTTCTCTTCTTTCAAGGATCCTGACTAGGTGGTCTTCACATTTCTATGATCACTTTTTTTCTTTTGTAGAAGCAGTAACAGGTAGGTGTGTGTGTGTGCATGTGCGTGTGCGTGTGCATGTGCGTGTGTATGTGTGTATGTGTGCATGTGCGAGTGTGCATGTGTGTGCACACATTCTTTTATGATCAAGGGAGAATCTACACTCACAGCCCCATACACACACCTTCAACTCCTCTCCTCTCCTGCACTGTCACCTTGTTCTTGAAATGCTGTCTAGTCCTCTCAATCACAACACTCAATGTGTTTTCTTGACCCCCATTCTTCTTGACCCTTTAGGGGCACCTCAAAATTGAACCTGTTTCTGTTTCCAAAATTTTCTCTTTCTCATTGTTCCCCCACCATTGCTGATTCCTTCCACATTTCTTCCAGATAACCTGAAACTTCTCCATCATTGTTGCTCTAATTTATTTATCAATTCTCCTTCTTTACACTGCTGTTTATACCTCCATCACTCACACCTTTCCTTGATATTCTCAGGAAAGGCAACATTCTTCTCAGAGTACAAGATAACAGATTACACTCATCTCTTTTTTTTTTTACCATCATCTCTATTTACTAAAATTCTATTACTGATTTCAAAATTTTGTAAAGATGCTATCTTTTCATATATCCCATAAAAGAAAATTTATTTATTTCTTCTGTGAATTTCTCTAATTTCAATGTGTATGCCTTCTTCTTTTGTAGTTACTATTATCTCATATTCTTTTTTATTGCAGTGACCTATAAATTTACTTTAATGTGCTTAGATTTTTAAGTTCTTAAAAGACAAGTCATGATAAAGATAGCAACTATAATAATAATCTCTTATAACAAGTTCCTACCATATTCCAGCTGGTACATTAACACAGCATTCTATGAACTGTCTAATTTTTTTTTTTTGATATGTTTAAGTAAAGTACTCAAGGGAAACACTTAGAGAATCAGAGTCAAGAATTGGATTTAGGCATGTCTGGTTTTAAAGGCCATATTTTAACTCACTATATACTATTTCTCATCATTTGCAGAATTGGCAGATAATTACTGAACAAAACATGTTCCTCAGCCGGGTAGTGGTGTCGCATGTCTTTAATCCCAGCATTGGGGAGGCAGAGGCAGGCGGATCTCTGTGAGTTTGAGACCAGCCTAGTCTACAAGAGCTAGTTCCAGGACAGCTTCCAAAGCCACAGAGAAACCCTATCTCAAAAACAAAAACAAACAAACAAACAAACAAACAAACAAAAAAACATGTTTGTAGGGGACACCCTAACCACGGCTGCTCAGGGTTGGTTACAGGTATGCCTGACCACGTCCCAGCAGGGCTGGTTACAAGTGTCCCCTACACATGTTCCTTATAGGCTGGGGAAATGGCTGGGTGAGAAAAGTACCTGCTATACAAATGTGAGAATCTGAGTTCAGCTCTGCAGATCCGTGTAAAGCCAAGTGTAGTAGCATATATTGCAATTGTAGCACTCCTACATGGAGAATAGAGGAAAAGACAGCCTCCATGTAAGCTTACAGGCCTACTGGTAAGCACAGGAACAAACTGTCAAGAAATCAAACAGGGTGCAATGTATGTCCTGGCACCCAAGGTCATCCTCTGATCTCCACATGTGCTCTCACACTCATGCACACAAACACACATATAAAACACAGAGAAATTTTTAAAATGTTCCTCTTAAGTCCTAACAACAGGTTAGGACAGTTTACTAGATTCCCTAGTTTCTGAAACTGCTTGGACAATACATCTGTAAGAAGAAGAAAGAGACAGCTTAGATTTCCACTCTTAAAGGATGAGAACAGGGTAAAACTTGTATATCTCATGACTAAACAGAACATAAAATGCAAAGAAAAAGAAAAGATCTAAGTCACCTGAATTAGGTAATAGCATATCTTTTGTCTCTTTCCTTGAAACCATCAAAGCCAATGAGGTTTAAGGCCATCCAAAAACCTTGCTTAGATAATTTAAACCACATTTAGACAAAGCCTCCAGTATTTCTAGTTTCTGAGGCTCTAAGATCAGTGCTGTGAAAGTATGTTGTCAGAGTCAAAACCAATGTAAACTTGGGGTTCAGATTTACATATGAACTGGTAAAATTACACAGTATGCACCAGTATTGATGTGAAGAAAATGGTAGTTGTTGCTTTCTATCTACATGTAAGCAGCTAAGAACTGTAATCCTTTGAGAGCAATGTCATTATATAGTCCCAATCCCACCCAACAAATACCATTACAACAGAGATGTCTGTATAACAAAACCCTTTCAAGCTTTGGCTGACAGCCCACATATTTCAAGCAATATTTGGTGTGAGACTTGGAGTTCACAATAATGGGAATTGACCTATACTTCCAAAGGTAAGATTTGAATGATTTCATCTCTAACTCCTATCCCATGACACCATGAATCTGAGTGATATACTACCCAAACCCACGAGTATAAAAACAAAACACAAAGGCAGAAATGAAACCATCAGTGCTCTTAAAGGGAAAAATCTTTTCCTTTTACTTGGGGAACACTTAGCCATGAAAATGAAGCCATGAAATGGAGCAGATGGTGCTGTTTTTGATCTCATTGATTGAGCAACAAAACAGTGAAGTGTCTGATGAATAGCGGTCACATATACACTTCCAGCAGGAGAAACTGAGCTACATTTCTTAACTTTTTTGAGCCTCAGTATCCTTATCTGTACACTATGACTCATACTACATATCTTCAACATTTTGGTAATCTGGATAAATGAAAACATAAATAAAGCTCTTACTAGAGGACCTGAAATACTGCATATACCCCCTGAAGTTACCCTATTTGGCTTCTCTCCCTCTTCAAGAGCTGGGGCTTCCGCAAACTACTTTCATGAAATTACTTAGACCCAGTGAACAGGAATTAACAATGTATATAGTCTCAAACTTAGTCTGGATAAGGTATGAATGAAGCATGTATGGAAAAGACAGAGGAAATAGTAACATAACTAAACCATACACAGAATATACTTGATAGGGGAAAAGGTCTTTTGGGCCAATGTAAGGAACATATACTGAAAAGATAAAAAGCAGTCAGTCAGGCATTATAATAATAAATGAGTTCTGATTATTTTGCCAGAGGTCATTTTGAAAAATACCAATAAATCCAATTTCAGTGTCCAATTTTCCAAGGTAAGGAAGAAATATGCATGCTAGCATAGCTAAGTTTTCTTTGGGTACTACTTTAAGAAATGGGAAGGATGCTAATTAGAAAGCTATTTAGTTGATAACCATGCATTATAGTATGTTTCCTAAGTAGGATACTATTAAAGTATTAAAATTAACTGGTTTTTTGTGTGGAAAATATCTAAATATTCATAAAGGTCTCTAATACAATCCTGATTTCTGAGGTTTTATATTTTACTGATTTTAGATCTGAGTTTCTACTTTTCTAATTATAGGCAATCATATTTGCAGATACAAAATTCTAATCTCTTTAATAGCTGTAGTGTTACATGGATGTTGGAAAAAAGACCTAGTTTGTTAACAAAATCTGAAGGCAAGCTGGTCGACCTTTACAAAGTGAGTATTTGCTATGGGCTTTTTAATTCCCTTTAAAAGCTCCCCAAAGCTCAACAGACCTTAGCACCATAGAGAATAGGAGATGCCGAGCACTTCACAGAATTACAGAATGTTGGCCTTAACATTTTCTTACTCTTCTATTTTCAAAATGCTCAAAGAAAAGTGTGAGGAGAGGTTCATGTGCCTACCTAAGGAGCACATACAAGCCAGGCAATGAGCTCCCTCTTACAAGATGCACATAAAAATAAAACAGGCTAGAAAGACATAGCAAGGCACAGAGAAAAAGGAAGTGGGATATCCACAGAAGACGGAGAGGCCCTGAGAGGAAAGACCAAAAAAGAACATCACTAAACAAGAAGGTTAAAATAGAGACAGACACCAAGCAGTAGCAGCAGAGGAGGTATTTTAAATATAGTCCATACAGAGCTTACAATGTAGGACCCAAGAATACAGAAGCATCAACCTAGTATAATTCTTGGCCTCTATTTTAATAATCGTAACCTCCACCTCATCACCATTCTGTTAAAATGGAGGTGGTAATAAACACCAGACTTTTCTGTTTAATCTTACCTGTTATAAGGGTGTAAGCCTTGAGTATCCCTGAAGGTGTTAACTATCTCATGTCACTAGGGCACTACCCCTGGCTCCAGCAGGCACAGTTCTCCTAATGATCCCTACTGGTCTCTAAGAATGGATGTCCATCTTCAAACCCCTTTTTCCCACCAGTGGCATCACACTAACAGTTTGCAAATCATTTCAAGGTCTACAGGCTATGGAAAAGTGTAATATATTTGTAATTACATGAGTAATCATGAGAAGGTAGCACAGACAGAGTTAGCTCCTGATATAAGAGGCTGAGAAACACTGTTCCTTACAGGGTCAGCAGCCCCACCCAGAGGCCATACTGCTTAGAAAGTGACCTCATAGAGCAATCAGGAGACCATAAAAAGCTGGGCAGCATTCATTCATGCCCTCCTTCTTGAGTCCCACCTGTCCCAGCAGGCGGGAGTTCTGGGAGGAGCCCGAGGCACAGTCAGAACACCAGGGCTGCCAGCACCAGCAGCTCTCAGACTGCCTTTTCTTCCTCTTTGTCGCCCTCCCTCCTGCAGATGGAAGGCTCTGGGAGCTCTGGCCAGCCCAGGATGCCCACCCCAGCCACTAACACTAACACCCCACCCTGACACTTGAGTGACCCCTACCCCATGTGCCACATGCATTTTGTACCTTTACTCTGGGGAGGGTTCTGACTCCGGTCCCGGAGGACGTTGATCTGGTAGACAGCTCCATAAGGCTCAAAAAGTTCTTTCAGCTCCTTTTCTGACCAGGATCTAGGGATCTGTCCGACAAACATCTTAATGGCATCTGGGTCTGGTTGGTCTGAATGATCCAAAGCTCCGTTCATCTTGTTGGCTGTGCCGTTACTGTCAAAAAAACGGAACCAGGAGCCAGAGTTAGGGCTTCAGGGTGAAGGACAGGAAGAAAAAAATAGTGGGGGTTGGGGGTGAGGAGGCGGAAAGAGGAAGAGGAGCACAGGGGAAAGTGCCTAATGACTCGTAGAAATTTGATGAACTAAAACAAAGCAGAGGCACCATTAGGTGGCTTCTCAGCGGCAGTGCGCGACGCTTTCACTGCATGCTGCTGCTATTCAGCACTGACTCCCGAGCACAGGGCAGTGCCTGGCCCCCTGTCACCCAGGGCACAGACATCTCAGAACCCAGGTTTGGGAGGCAGCTGCAAGTTAAGTGCAGGTCTCAATTGGCAAGGCTGCCATCAACACATCACAAATCGGCAGCATTATCAGCTTTGCACTGGTTATCGCTAGGAAAGAAAGGCTGAGCTGGATTTCTGCTGGATTTCTCACCCTCTTCCCCTTCCCCGCCCTTTTTCAGAGGTTTTGGAAGAGAGGAGAGAGGTGGTAATAATAAAGTCACATGGAAAGAAAATGAAACACTTGGCAGTCCATCAGATGACTAATGCAAGATGCTGGTGATGAATTTGCAGAGTGCGAGAGGCATCCATGTGTGCATCAAATTAGTACGTTGTTGCTGCTCAGAAAGGAAAGTGCTCCAGCTATGCAGCTCGGTGCAGCTGATTGGCTGCCTGCACTGGAGGAAAGGGCCAGAGCTTTTGGGGGGGGGTTCCCCTTTAAAAAGCATATTGTTTATGGGACCCAAATACAAAGGGCTTAATTCAGAGAAGCAAAAGTGATCTCAGAATTGCTTTCTTTGTGTTGGGGAAAAAATACAGCACTGAAAGTTGAGTTCCCACTAAAGGACACTGAATATTTTAAATCTTTCACACTCCATAAATTGCTCTCTGTATATCTGACTTCCAGATGTTGCACTTAAGTTCTAAACAATCACACGTTTGGGAAAGGAAAAAAAAAAAAGATCTGCTTTTTCTTCTCCTAGCTTCAGTAAATATTTGGGGTGGATACAAAGAACTAAAGCACAAGCTTTTATGTCTTTCCTCCTATCATTTCCCAGACCCACATTTGGAAAAGGATACTTGTTTCAAGCCTGATATGGTGAAGAAGTCATTCCTTTTTACCTTAGACAACCCCTTTGTACTAGAATAACAAAGCAAACCAAACACCTTTTTTTCTTCATAACCCCCAACTAGCACACTGTATATCCCAGCTCCTTTCTTAGGAAGACTAAATGCTATGGAATGTGCCCATTTGTAGCAGAATACTGGTGGTTCCCGTTCCTCAGTATGTGAAAATATAAAGCACCTGAACAAGTACACAGCCAGCAGCCCAGGATCTGCAGCCTTGCAGGTGACCATTCTGCTACATAAGTAGGACAGAAAAAAGATACACTAATCTGTAAATGGCAAATAATAGCCTCAGAAAAAAACAACAATGTACTGGAAAAAGATTTTAACAGAGTTTCTTATTTTGGTGCAAAAAACATACAAATAAAAAGAATAGTCTAAACCGGGCAGTGGTGCCACATGTCTTTAATCCCAGCACTCGGGAGGCAGAGGCAGGCAGATCTCTGGGAGTTCGAGGCCAGGTTGGTCTGTTACACAGAGAAGCCTTGTCTCAAAGGAAAAAAACAAAACAAAACAAAAAAACCCCCAAAAACCAAAAATCCCCCAAACACTCTAAAGCTGCTACAGGTCTAGGTTCACCAGATCTGAGCCCTTAAACAAATAAACAAACAAAACCCAGCATGACTGCATTCTTTAGCATGAGAACACACACACACACCCCTACCCACACACACACACACACACACACACACACACACACACACACACACACACACACACACACACACACACACCCCTACCTACCTAAAAGCCAAAGTCTAGAAGAACTGAGAAACTTCAATTCAGATTTAATCCGGAGAGGGAATGGTGTCAGATTACTTTTACTAGGTTTTGCTTCAACTTCTACTACCTCTACCTCCCTATTTTACTACTTGTTTTTTTTATCTTTGAAGCAAAAAGAGTGTCTAACTTGAAGCATTTTCAGACCATTTTCTAATCAACCTTATTGTTATAAAAATGTTCTACTGAATAAAATATTGAGTACAAGATCTTTTTCAACAATTCAGGTATAATGCAATGCTTGTTTATATTAGAGCTAGATCATTTATCTTGTTCTCATGCACCTCTCCTTATTTTCCATCACCGAGAATTCAATAAACAGTTTAACCCGTGGAGCTGTGACTGCACAAGCTGGAGGTGGCACAATTCTTTGCAGTAGAGTATAACATTGTTTATAGCGCTCTTAAAGCTGAGCTGTAGCAAGACTCACTTTTGGCACAGGAAGGACTCGTGGTTAGTGCTGTTGACAACCAGCTAGATGAAAAGAGGAAGGTAATGCCACAGGTCTAAGCTAACAGAAAGTGGAAGTTGGACCATGATTAATATAGTACAAGAGTTAGGCCATGGTATACTTGTCTAATATATAAACTTAGAATTCCGGAGCAAGCACTTGTTTACTTTTAGCTCTCCAATGAACATTCCTTTTTTTTTTTGTTTGTTTGTTTTTGTTTTTTGTTTTTTGAGACAGGGTTTCTCTGTGGCTTTGGAGGCTGTCCTGGAACTGGCTCTTGTAGACCAGGCTGGTTTCAATCTTACAGAGATCCACCTGCCTCTGCCTCCCGAGTGCTGGGATTAAAGGTGTGCGCCACCACGGCCCCATCATCACTTTCTAACTATGCTACTTTGAGCTTCAGGTTCTTCATTTAAAAAATGGCAACAAGAGATTATGCCCCATAAAATAACATTACCCTGAATAAGTGTTCTATAAATGTCTGCCAATATCACTGTGTTTATTTCCTTTGCATAACTGAAATGAGTGACCACCACACATCTATTTTTCAATTAAAACTTTTTTTGGTATAAATCCAAACATGGCTTATATCCTTAGTAATAATAGTATCTTACATATACAGATACTATGTTGTGTACTTTACATTTTTTGTTTATTGGTTTGGGGGCTGTTTGTTTTTCAGACAGTTTCACTATGTAGATCTGTCTGTCTGGTCTGAACTGGCTATATAAAACAGCCTGGCTTTGAACTCATAGAGATCTACTTGCCTTTGCCTAGCAAGAGCTATGATTACATGGGTGAACCACAACATCTGGCAGTGCTTTACATTTTAATCCTCAAGACAACCCTCGGAGAAACTAGTATTTTTCAAATGCCAACATCTGAGAAATACATTCTGTCCCTAAGGTTACCAGATTATAAACTATAGTTAGAATACAAATTTATGCCCCTTGGATCCAAAAGGGCAAAGTATTTTTAATCCACAATGTGGCCAAACGTTCTGTATAGTCTGGCTTGAGTAGAGTGCAGACAGCTCATAACAAATCAAGAGGAAGGCAAATTCCAGAGCAAGTCCTACTGGGTCTCTAGAATCACACACCCAAATAAAAACAAGCAATATTGGAAAAAAATTACACACATGGTTCTTCTATCTGTGGGAAACAAGCTGCTAGCACTCAACTTATGAGCCTTTAAGGCTGCTTTGAATAGTATATCTTCTCAGTCATCACGTAAGATCCCTGTTTGTCCAGATCCATTCATCTCTATTCCCACAGAGTCACTTTGATGAGTAGCTGTCACATATCCTTATTTTCATCCTTTCTTGTCTGCCATTTTGAAAATTACCATTTGTATCCATTATGAGATGTACAACAATTCTAGTATAAATTAAAATCACCACCCAAAATTCTCAGTCAAAATTTTTATTTGGGATAGGTATTCATATCACAGTGACTTTCTTATTGTTCCTGCATCTTGATGTATCTGACAATTTAGTTAAATTTGCTTTAATACACCTAAGCTTTTCCTTTGGACTCTGAATCTTTTGTTTTGGCTGAAACTCATTTCTCTTGGCAATCTGGTGACTTCTGTTCTCATGGGCTGTAGGCACAGATGCTTCTGAGTAAGCCAAAGATGATATGTTAATCATGTTTTAAGTTGAACTTTTGGAGATTCCCTGACAGAGGTCACAGAGAGCCAAGGTACTCTTCAAACAGAATTATTGATACATATACCCCAATCTCAGCAAAACCCTCTACTAAGATCTTTGTCAAAAAAAAAAAAAAAAGGAATATGATTGACTCAGAAAATCAGGACTAGCTTGCTTTTCTTCACTCCTTACCTTCCTTGGAATCCTTTTTATAGTGCAGAAATTTAGAATTCAAATCCAAATAAATTTACCGAGGGCCTAACCTCTGCCAGAAACCTTTGCCAAGTAATTGTCACACAATATCACAACAGCTCCAGTTGGAATCATCTTCATTTTAGAGATGAAGCAAATGAGAGCCACAGGGATAATGTGTTTCCTATGTAACACCCATAAGGAATCATGACAGTAAAATAAGAATACAGTAAGACTTAAGAGCCAACTGTTTCCCCTTCTTTTTCCATGAACTGGACTTTGGAGAAACCCCAACAGAATGTTTCACATGGACTCTGTGACCACTTGCAGATCTTGAACAAAGACACATACATCTGTAGGCACCTTGCCTAAGAATTTCAACAGAATCCTGAATACCAATTCTGCATTTGCCCTTGGCAAAGAACCTACTCTGTGACTCCTCTAGGACAGGTGCCAAATAGAATGGGACTATAAGTCAAGAGCATGGAGCCAGGGGACATTGTTGGTATGAGTCTTAGAGCCAAGATGAAAACCTAATGATGTTGGGAGGATGGTGACAGTGCTTACATTTTGCTTTTAGCACTGCACTGACCTACTTACCTACTCTATTTTCTAGTAATAAGAAATCAGATCAGCAGAGAAGATGTTCCTCTGAGAAAGCAGAATATCATTAAAATTAAGTGGTTTAATGCATTATTGTTATCATTATTAACTCCAGGAAAAGGTTTTATAAGACCTAAAAAAATTTCAAGCATCCTTTTCAAGACTGGAAACAGGAGAAACAAATTTCTGATTTTGTATCTTGTCTTTGGATAGTTTTCTATGTTTAACTTCCTTTATCTATATAAAACAAGAAACAAATTTACAAAATGGCTGTGATAAATTCCAAGTGCCAATAAATACCCACATTAATGTATTAAACCAAAAATACTATGCAAAAGATACCTCTTTCTGAATACTCTTGACTAAGGATAGCTGATCTTATTGGTGTTTGTAAGCAATTTTATTATTCTTAATATTTTTATTTGTTTGCTCTTAGCCTGTTCTTTTTTTTTAATTTAATTTATTTTATTAGTTCTAGTTAGGGAACAAGCTTATTTCAAGTCCCTCCCTCCCCTCACCCCCAAACCTCCTCCCCCACCCCTAACCAACCCCCAACCCCATCCACCCACCATTCCCCAGGCAGGGTAGGGCCCTCAACGGGGGC